CTGCAATAAGATGTAACAAGCATAATTTACATATGTGAATTGTTTATATAAAAAAAATCACTCATAAATAGTAAACATGACAAAAATTTAACATAAACTGAATCATATATGTATGTGTGTATATATGTACTAATGATGTATATTTTTCGCAATTAAGCAATTAATCACTATTAGATATAATAATAAAGATTATTATTATTATTATTATTATTATTATTATAAAATTTGTATAGCGTTAAATATACTCTAAAGCGCTTGAACATTAATATAAAAATATACAATATAATTAACACATAATTAAGAATCTGAAATAGACATATAGATATTTAATAATAATAATAATAATAATAATAATTATTATTATTATTATTTTAAAATTAGATCCTAAAGTAGCTATAACTATATACATTATTGAATTGGGAAAAATAGCATAAAAAAAGAATTACAAAACAAAGAGAGTCCATAAAGTGTGTGTATAAAAGAGAACATAAAATTTTAAATAATTACTATATTAATGATAAAAAGCCATTTAAATAGGTGAGTCTTAAGACACTTTTTAAAACTATGTAAATTTTGTTCATGTCTCAATTCTGCTGGGAGACTGTTCCAGAGTGCGGCTGCGCTTACATCGAAACGTCGATTTCCATATGACTTGGTTCGAGCACGAGGTTGAACACCTGTAATTCTCAATGATCTCGCTGGGAAATACAAATTTACAAGGTCTTGAATATATAACGGTGACATCCCATGCAGTGCCTTAAATACAGTTATTAATATTTTGTACTGGATCCGAAATTCCACTGGCAACCAATGCAAAGAAATTCCATTATACCACTACCTACTTGCTACCCCCAGTCCATCAAAAAGAATATTTTTCATTATTTTCAATCTCTGAAGTGAAAAACACTTGAAATTTCGGCTTGACATTATTTGTATCATGTTGTGAATTGCAGTTCAGACCTGCTGATTCCCTCAGGTACTCCTCTGTGTGCTTTCCTATATAAATATATATATTCGTCTTTTTGTCGAGTTTGAGTTTCTATTTTATGTCAAGCTTTCTTCATGGTGTCTGGAAGAGAGTGCTGGCCCTCTGAGGAAATTATCAGGTTTGCTCCCTACATATACACATATATACATAAAAATTTTACGTAGTATTTTGCTTTCAAGGTGCTAAGTTATGCAGACAGTTTTTTTTTTAGATTTAGAAATCCATTATCAATTATTAAAATTCATATTTTAAATGGATTCTTTTGTTTTAAAAATTAAACTAACTTACTTTCTCGAAATTGATAATAGTCAGGCCATGTTGTAAATTCACGTAATTATATAAAATTAAACATATAAACTCTGATTTGCTATTCAAAAGGAAAATATCGTGTAAACACTTTTTTTTACATATTGCAATCATGTATTACAAAGCTATGGCTAGTTTTAGAACTTCATTTCCAGAATAGAAAATTACAAGCTTTTGTGTCATAACAGATTCAAGTATGCTTCAAAGATAATTCATTCATTGAAAATAGTACAAGACTAAACAACAAAATCAAAATAAGGGAGACCCGTATGACCAACCTCATCTTGCAGTTAAGTATATTAGTCATGTTCTCGTCTCAGTCTTGGTTCATCAGATTCCTATACAAAGCAAAATCTGATCTGATATATTAACAATGTCCTGGTTTCTATTTCAATAATTACCTTTCCTTTTAGGGAGGATGGATAGTTTATTCATTTAACTTCTTCATAAAAAATCCCATTTCTTGACTGCAAAAAAATGTACCACACAAGGTCGTACAAGTTCCCTTTACACTAAATTTTCAGAATTTTTTTTAAATGAAGTGTATTATTATATTGTTTTTGTATCAGTAAAAATTTCATAATTCTATCCCCAATTTGCCGCATTCAGTAATGAATTGTATAAGTCCTCTAAGAAAAGGTTTTTGCACATAATTGTCATATTGTTTAATATGCATGTACATTAGACTAAAATTTACTCTATTGGCATAGTTTTATATAATAAAATATTGGTCTGCTCCACTAGATTCTTCTTATAATGAAATACTGTGTTCCAATTTTTCAGTAAGTATCTTACTTTTTTTATAATTGGTTTTTCTTGTATAAATAGAAGAGATCGATGTTGATATCTAAAGTATCATAAATTTGTTGACATTGATATCTTTATCCCCCTAGTTGCAAATTCATGAAACGAACAGATCTTAGAGTACTGAAAAATTATATTATATGCATATGATATATATTATGCTTTACACTATGAATGCAACATTCTCTGCTATGATTGCAGTTCGTTTCTCACACTAGCACAGATCCAACTTTCATCAACTAAGAAACTCGTTATTATATATATATATAGATATTCAATATGATTAAAATTCTGTTCGAGGTGTATTTAGAATTTTTAAAATTTGGATCAATGTAACCGATTGTATCATTAAACTTTCTCTAAATTAAATAGAGCTGCTTTATCCTTGATTTATCTGTACATTTTTATGCATATAACAATAACACGAACAATAACTCTTCACACGCGGATGCTTGAATTCAGACAAAGCGAAATTTCCGTAAAGTTATCTACTTCAAGATTGATTTGAGCTCGTAAAATGATTTAAAATAAACACTAGCTCTTATCTTAAAATCAATATGAAAGCCTACTCATTTTTCATAATAATATTATTTTTCTCACGGAGACTCAATACTTTAAACGAAACCTTGATGTAGGGAGTGGGTTTAAACAGGCTGAGCCTGTTGCCCAATCCTATTCACTTTTACATCTGTGAATAAAATATTGTTTAAATTAGATACTTTAAACGATGATGTCACAACTGCATCAAAACAAAGTTTACGAGAAAATAAAGACCGCGCGGTTTGCAGCCAGATAATGGGCATTAAGAAGCAAATGGCAAGCACATTGTATGCGTTTTATTGAAAAAAATTGGATTAATCAGTTCTGCTGATTTTACTTTCATCAGTTTTGTCCAATTAAGACAAGCAGTCGTGTCCTTATCCTGGTCAAGATTTCCTTTGACATTCTTGACAACATCACAGAATGCAAATATAAAAAATAAACGTTAACGTTGTTTCAGTGAACATGGTGTTATGAACATCTCAAGTTTTGCAGGCATATTTACCTTGACGTCCTAACAGATCATGGATTATATCTACAGAGCTAATGTTGTTCATAACACCAAGTTCACTGAAAAACGTTGTTCATTTCTTAAATGGTATCTTAAGCATTTCTATGTTACTTTACATCATTTAATAACTGAAAGGAAATAAAGAACACAAAAATTAAAAAAAAAAAACGTATGCACACAACGTTTCCATATCTTAACACCGGATTTTTCTTTTCATTTTCGTATTTTGAGGATAAACTTTCTGAATTCATTGGGACTTCCTCAGCTGTTCCCGGGACCTCATCTGCCAACGGTGTATTTACCCTATATAATATTACAAAAGTGTATATGAACACAGAGTAATATGTAAAGCATTATTTTAAAATAATGTGTTGAGTTCTTTCTTTCAAGTTTCATTGTTTGCACTAAACTCATTAATAGGCTAAAAAAATTACATAGAAAAAAGTTTTCTACTCATTTGACACTAATGATTGTACTTTACTTAGCATTTATAATAGAATAATATGCATCTCTATGAGGTGCAAGGGTAATAGATGAAGAACAATAAATTTTAATGATGACAAGTTAGAAATCATATACATACCAATGATTGAAAAGATCTTTTATCGGCTCTTCAAGTTGATCCAAAGTATATTACAGGTTAATCGTGGGGATAAAGGGGATCAAAGTTGATTGATACTTTGACCGTTTCAGACCCTTTCAGACTTTGAGTCTATGTAGTTTTCGCAAAGGGAGGTTCACAGACAGGTTTGGGACTCTAATTATGATTTATTGGAGTGACCACTGGCATAGTCGTGATGTACAGCGCTCAACACTTTTAGAACAAATACATGTATTTTCCTTTGTTCGCGATTAGCCACAAGTATATACAAACAGTCTATATACTTTTTTTCACTGACGCAGCACAAAAGGCGCTTGTCCACAAACAGCAGAATTATATGTTCTGTAAATATTTCTAATTAATTAAATTAAATGCTAAAAATGATTTAGGTTATTTAACACTTGAGAAGAAAATACCACGTAGTTATTCTAGTTAAAATATAAATTTGAAAAAAAAATCAATTTTAAGCATCATTTATGATCACAAGAAATCACAAATTAAACGTGTACTTGTGGTATTAGTTTGCCCTGTGTATCTCCTTTTTCAAATTCTCAGACAGCCCAGTTCATAATGGCAGATTTTTATTTCTAATCTATCAGGGATCAAGAAAAGTCAAACGGGAAGGACTACGCAGCAATAGCCAAACACAATGTCTAAATTCTGAGAAAAAATAAGTGTCCCGCACTCAGGGAGGCAAAGGGTCGCAGAAGCAATTTAGGAGATTCGTTGTATATATATATATATATATATATATATATATATATATATATATATATATATATATATATGATTTTGCCATTTAGGAGACCGCTCATACTTATATATTGGCATTAAGTAGCCTCGTAGAATAAGTGGACCAAAACCGGTCGCCTTAACATTTTGACCCTCTCTGAACAGAAAATTAATGACTTTTTAATATTAAATTGACAATAGTTAATTTTAGTTTAGTATATTTTTGTCCCTTAAATACAAAAAATATGCCAAAATTTTATGATTATAGAAATTTTTAAATTTAAATTTCAAGCACGTATATATTGGTATTATTATATATCGTCATTATGTAGACCAGCTAAAACTTGCAAAATTAAATAAGATCTGCTATATATGTCTTATTTCTCCTAGTATTTAGTTTTAGATATTGTTCTCCCACTAATTTTGGGTATGTACAATTTGCTAAATAGAATAAAACTTTTTACGAGAAAATGAGCTTTAGAGTTTCGTGTTCATCAACTTCAAGGTTTTCGTGCGCAATGCCTTCCGAAAATTTTCGGAAATCCTCGGTATCCTTTACGACCTTCGGAGAAATAGGAGTCAGACAAAATTTTGGTAAGTAATAACAAATTATGATTTTTTAAAAATACTTATTCATGATATATTGACTATATATTATGCACCCAATATCTTGCGGTTAACGTCTGGTATTTATTCATTGATAAAGACTTACGTATACTTATTAGCATGGAGGAAATTCGAATTGTAGTTTACCAACAACGTGTTTTCAACAGATCGTTTGTTTGTTTTGAACATATTTTATTGACATAAGCAAATGGATCGGAAACAAGTTCTTACAACTTACTTGTTCCTAAATTTTGATTACATGTACTTGAACAAAATAATTGTAATCTCTGCTTATTCATAAATATATACTGAATAGCATAATATTAGGCTGGTGGTATCGTTCTTGCGGAGATAAATTAAATATTCGATAATTTACCTGAAATACTAACTCTAATTTCCTATTATATGTGGGGTAGGGTTGGGTTGGAAATGGGAGTAAGGTGTTTCTAGGTTCAAACTTTTTTCACAGCCTAATCCAACCAGCCTTTCCTGAACAATTTTAATAGTAAAAGATTAATTGGGGGAGGGGAGGACCCCCCCTCCAACCACGATACCACATCTCTGATGTCTATGGCAGCGGATACATACATGCATATATGTACATACAAATTTATGTATCTGACAGCACCCCCCTTAGATTTCTTGTACATAAAACATAAAGTTGATTTGGACAAGCCCAATATAGCAACAATTTTGAAATATCTTCAAAAATAAAGAGGAATTAAGGGCTACAAACTGCTAAAAAAATTCAAAGGGACCAGATTAATATTTTTGATCGGGTTAGAAGTGGGGTTTGGGTGCAGGATGTGTGGAAATATTTTGTGTATATTCCATATAGGCAAAAAGGCTGTAGGCTACCGTTCATTTTTTTAATGATAGAAATTTGGTTGAAAAGGGGGGAGAAAAGTTGATGATAAATGTTATCTATTAATTTCATTTTGTTGCAAATGCCAAAAAAAGAAGCATTTTTGACAATGCTCATTTTTGTACCCATACTTACAGTCTAACTTTCTGTTTAATGACAAAAATATTCCTATTACTGGAAATAAAAATTAAGCCAAAATTCAAGTATTATATTAGGTCTGCATCAGCCTCCTTGCTTACCCATTATTTGCGCCTCAAGTTAAATCTGTGACATCACACTAGCCGACACATTACATGTAGTAGAAGGTAATAATATTATTATACGCCAATGATATTCTAAACAATCTATTACACTGTACCTTTTGGCATGAATGGAGGATTAATTAACAGGTTATATCAGAGATGAGCATATCAGTTAATAGTTATATGTATTACACTTTCCATGATTGAGTAACAAAAGATATACTGTATAATTCTTGCAATATTTTTTCTATAATAGTAGACTCAGTTAACATCACCACCGTTAAGGAGTTTCGATCTACAGCACTGCTGATTTAATTTCTCAGATTTTATTAGAGATCTACAAGTACCTTTACAGGTCACTTAATTAGTACATGTATCACAAATTTAATTGGGCAAATGAGAATTTTGTCTTTAACAACTTAAATGACTCAAAAATGTATTGCATGTTCAACATGTTCAGGGTAAATTATTTCCTTTATCATGAATTTATTCTAATTTTATGGGAGAATATATTTATGATTATGAAAGTACTAGTAAATCAGCCTACACATAAGTAAGAATTACTTCAACTATTTGAATTACTTTGCAGATTTATTGCATTGTCTTTATTACTTAACAATCATGTAAAACTTTATTTCATGGTCGTAGGAACGGGGGTGGGGGGATGGGGGGTGGGGGTGCCCCCAATAATTTTGCCGAAATATAGAATACTAAAGAAAACATAGCTACTATATGCTTGTGCCCCCTCAATAAAAACGCCTGATGACCTTTTTTTTTTTTTTTTTTTTTAAGCTTGTCAAGGAATTTTTGGTTGTTAGTGCCCCCCAAAGAAAATGCATGGCTGTCCCCCCTCCCCCAAACTGAAATTGCTTCTTACGGGCCTGTATTTATTGATTTTTTTTTAATGTTTCATTTATTTATAAACCTATTAAGTGTTTCATTTTGAAAAGAAATATTAGAAGATAATCATAATTTCAGAAAGAAGTTGAAATTAAATAATAAAAGAGACCCTAAGAAAAATTGCTTGTTGTCATTGTCAAGCTTGAACAAGTCCTGATTCATATGAAACAGTACGCAGTTTTGCTAAAGGTCGTAAGTCAAAACGTAGACGTAAACGTAGACGTAGCCGTAACTTACGTCGATTTTGCGTTTTACTAAAGATCGTATCTTACGATTTAACGTAGATTTACGTCAAAATCTACGGGTGCCCTACAGCAGTCGTAGAAAAACACGTAGCATAAATAAAAATGGCGACACTTTTATAATTATGCAGCGTTCTTTAAGACAACAGCGAGTTTTCCGCGATAGGAGCCAACCACTGGACTCCTTGAATGATTCGGAGCTCATTTCGAGGTATCGTTTCCCTCGAAGAGTAATTTTTGACATGATTGATGGGGTGGACGAGCAACTACGACCATATACGCAAAGATCTCATGCCATCCCCACTCAGTTGCAGGTTATATTGTAAACATTGAATCTGAAAGCGCATCCATGTCACATCTATGGCAACGGGAGTTTCTAAACAAGGAATCGTTAGGTCTAGGAAACAAATATTCCGGCAGAAGTAGCTAGATATTTATATATTTTACGGATAAATGTTTCACTTTTGTTACCCCACAGAATATATTTCAAGGAAATCATTAAGAAAAAAAATAGTGCCCTTATATGTTGTTAAAAATAAAAGGAAAAAACAAAACCCTGTTTTTCTTGTTGATAGAGCATTCATTCTTTACATAACACATGTACACACGTGTTCTTATACATGCACTGTGTGTGTGTGTGTGTGTTTTTTTTTTTAAGTTTAAATCTAGGCTTACATGAGCAACGCTATGTTTCGTTCAATGCAAAGATAACCTTTAAGTGGGTTCAATTTCTGTATTGAATTTTTTTTTTTCACGAAGACGGCAAACATTTGGGGGGGGGGGGGGGGGGGCTGTTTGAGTTGGGGCTCACAATCTACGCAAAACCACATTAAAATTACAAGGTTCTTTTTTTCTGGCCCTATTTACATAAATTCTTTTATTTTACATGTAAACCTCGGTTTTGTATATATTCAAGTTATAAAACACTATAACACATGTTGTTAAGTTCAAAGCAGGTTGTACTCATTATCCATATAACTGTATAAATAAATTGATATATGTATGCCTGGCCTTGCAAAAATTTCATGCACAAGACATTGTAGAAATATACATTATTCTTGTGCTTCAGAATAATAGGAAACACCAGTCATAAAATATCTTCTCTCTCATTTAAATGCGTATTTTAACTTATGAACTCATATGTCATAAAAGCTTACTAGACAGTATAAATTTAATTTATAAAGTGATATCAACTAAACCTATTTGATTTCTTATCAAAGTTTAGCAATTACTTAAAAATTATTTACAGGTACATTTACAAAGTACAGTTAACAAAAGACTTCCCAAAATTATGGAATTTAGGCTTTCCAATAATTTTTTTAGATATATTTTATAAAGTGCATGCTGTGCTGCTCTAAAAGAATTAAACATGCAAGATTTTAACTACTGAAAATATAAAATGCCGAAATCTCATCCTAAACCAATACTTTAACTTCCAAGTTAAATATCAAACAAAACGTCAAAAATACAATGACTGAAAATCTAAAAATTCTAAAAATAAAATAGACTGGTCACCAGTCTAGAGGGGGGTAGGAGGTCCGGACCCCTCCTTGAATTTGCATAGTTATTAAAGGTATATACTGAAGCAAACTGATAAAAGAATGACTTTGGATCCCCCCCCCCCCCCCCCGAAAACGTGGACGTACTCCACCATCACCTACCATGAAATAGGTGTTTTTCACGTTTGGGGAATATGGATTTTATTTTATTTATTTATTTTTTTTTTTTTTTGTTTGTTTTGCTTTGTTTTTAATTTCTGGTTTAATACGTTTGGAAAGGGAATTAATTTTTTTCTTTAATTTTTGTTTGTTTGTTTTTTAATTCGGGGGGGGGGGTTGTTTGTTTTTTGTTTTGTTTTGTTTTGTTTGTTTGTTTGTTTTTTGTTTTTTTTTTTTGTTTGTTTTTTTTTTTTTTTTTTTTTTGCTTGTCAAGAAATTTTCGGTTGGAATTTTTTTTTTGACTGGGATGGACCCCCTCCCCCCCCCCCCCGGAAAAAAATTCCTGCATCCGCGCCTGCCAGTCAAGTGATAGGTCTGCACAAATCGCTAAATAGAGTTTTAACAGGAAAATAACTAATTAACAAAATTGTCAATTAAAGTAACACAGACACTTTTGTAATTTACTTTTGTAATTTAATTTGTTTATATAACTTTTATTTATCAACCTATATTTCATTATTAAAGCTGCATAAGAATAAAAAACATAATTTTAAACTTACATTAACAAAATTCTGATATGCTACACATATCAAAGGAAAACTGTACATTGTAATGACACTAGATGTAAATAAACTTAATGCCAATACAAATTGAGTGCAAGTAAAAATACTCATCTTAAATTATTTGAATAATTTATCTTGCATGTAGGGGGCAGAAATATGCCACGGTGCCATACGTATATAAATGTAACTAGAAATATGTCCATAGATCATGAATGCCCCGCCGAGGGTATATTAGTAATGCAACATGAAAATTTGTATTAGTGTATGAAATTTGATGAAAATATCTTGAATAGTTTCTTTAAAATTGAAATCTAAAAAGTTGGATATAGATGATAAATTCTCACCAAATTATGTATGAGTGCAAAAGCTTACATAAATATACCTTAAATGGTTTCTTTAAAACTAAGCAAAATGCAAAGGGGGAGTTTCGATAAGGCTGTTTTTTGGCCCCTCTAGAAATGTAATGAAATTGTGATATGTTGTAGATAAAAGTGTTATCTTCCTAAAAATATGAAAAAAATTTATACTGCACATTTTCTGGTCACGTGATAATTAAAAATTTAAGTATACCTTCTTCCCTATGTTTTTGGAGGGGTCATATTTAAAGGGGGTAATGGAGTTTATTTAACGTCAAAATCATAAATGAAATATTACAAATGTGAATAAAGGCATCAAATAATATATTTCAATATTTTTCTTTACAGAAAATTAATGATATTTATTTAATTTGAATGCGTTTTAAGGTGCAAGATTTTTCTCGTGTTTTAATTGTAACTCTTCTTTCAAAGAGGATGAATGTAACATATAAAACGTATATGAATAATAAAGACAGGAATTTTCAAAAAATGAATTAATCGACAGTTTATACTTAGACTTAATAATCAATATATAACATTTTCCCGTACGTAGAAAAGCAAGTGTAAAGATATATAGACAAGAGATAGATAATCTTAAACTGTCATTGACAGGTGTTTGACACTGTTTGCAACACATTTTTGTCAACTAAAGTTATTGTGCTAAATATAGTATTAAAAATGTACCGTAATATCATTAAATTGAATTTTAAAAAAAAAATTTTGAAATTAGTAGATTTCGGAATTCGGTGCGATTAAAAAATGCAGCTATTTATATTTTTAAAGTATATTTAAAAAAATCATAGTCTGCAACGTACACTGTATTTAATAATACCAAGCGTATTACTACCAGTCAAAATATTTTATCAGCCGGAGGATTTATAGGTTTCCTCATCGTCTGTCCGCCTGTTTGTCCGTCCGTCCCTCTGTCTATCTGTCAGTCTGTTCCACTTGGTTTCTCGCACTTTTCTCTAAACGCTTGCAGATATTGAGCTGGCTTTGGTATTTATAGTGTATCCTGATGAGTTTGGAATTCGAGTTTGAAATTCTGCTTCATTGATTTTGGACGGAATATTACAAATTAAAAAAAAAAAGGGGGGGGGGTACGGCTTTTTTTTGTTTTGTTTTGTTTTTTCTAAAAAAAAAAATCGCATATATTGAGCTGATTTTTGTTTTGGTATATGTGCTAAACTTGAGTTATAGATCAAGTTTGCATTTTCTTCCGCTTCAATGATTTTTCAAATAGGGCATTTTCAATTTTTAATGGAAACCAGGTTATACTTGGTGTGCCGATAGTGGACTATTATTGCTAATGCTTACAGAATGCGTGAATAAATAGCCAAATGATAAAAAAAACTAAAATACATTGAGTGCATGTCTTCTATTCATTCTTAAACTTAAAAGTATTTACGCACATAAAGAGGTGCATTATGTTTTCAACAAAAATAAGACAATTCAGGCAAGCGAGGACCTACATGTAATTCCTCGCGCTTCCCAACTTCCTTTTGAAGCTTATGTTGTTTCACCAACTCTAGTCACTATTTGATTTGTTAGACCATAGCCGCAATTTAAAATACATTTGTAAATACCAAATGTATGTGTTAAATCATATCCTGCAGAAACGTACAAATCAACATCCAGTCTTAAAAGTAATCTACGTTCCCTACATGTAGCACACGGAATTATATGTGAACCTTCTCTAACAGATTGAAGCGAGGAGAGTTTCTATTCAAAGGAATGGCTATAAACATATCCTTGATAAAGAAGGTTAATGAATGGACTAATCCTCAAACTTCTCTTTAGTTCAGTCAGTCATTCGGAAAATGTAAGATCCGGCATCTGTAGCATCATCGGTGCATATTTCTTCAAGATAGGGATTATAGTTACATGAAAATGAGACATGCTCCAAAATATATACCCTGAGTATTCATCAAGAAAATGTAAGTCAGATCTAGCGTCTGAAGCAAGTCTGACAGTGTGCATCCAAAGATGCATCATAAAGCACGTCTTCTCAACAAGTGCTTATAGCTGCACTGCTCCATAAACATTAACCTGCTTTAAGAACATTAACCTGGACATTCTTTAACTGAAAATGCAGCATCTGAAACCCGACAGATGACAAGAAAACACACTAGATCAGGCGACTCTGATGATATGAAGAAAATGATTAAAACTTTTAATAACCTGGCACGCCTATAACGATGGTATTACAAAAGCTCCCCCAACTTCGAGTAGGTGAGCTAAATATGTGACGTTATAGTAATACGCGGGCGACGAAATAAGTATGGAAATAACGATAGGATACGATTATGTTTTCTTATGTTAATATTTTCGAGAGTTCTCTTTGGTTTAGAAAAAAATATGCTACTTTTGGCTTTGTATTTTAACACGGCGTCAGATCAAGTAACCAGGAGCTTCTAATTTTAGATATGCAAATTTTAGACAATTTTCAATTTTTGGATATGAAGTGCACACGCGACACTCATCATATTTTAAGATATTAGTGTGCAGAGTATATCTAATTACTGAAGAAAACTAGGTGAGTGTCCCTCATGCACTTCATATTCTAACCATCGATTTATAAATGCCACCCTCTTATATTTTCCCATTAGCCTAATGTTAAATCATTTGAGGGTACATCTAAGAATGTGCCAACTACGGTGTGAATTCATCTCATATAAACTCTTGGAATATAAATAACAAAAATTAACATATATATCTTGAATTCTAAACCAATTTTGAAAAAATAAAACGAAATTTATTTTTATGAAAATAAGTGGGCCGATAAGCGGCCTTATCGAAACTCCCCCTTTGAGAAAAGTTATGTCAAGGTCACAGGAACATTCAAGGTCAAACATTTTTGATATAGTTTAATAGTTTTCACATACACGTATCAGCATATTAAGTTTGATAAAAATATTTTGAATGGTTTATTTAAAACTGAGCTAAACAATAATTTAAAATAAATGAAGTAAAGGTCAAAGGAAAGGTCAAGGTCAAAAAATATTGATGCAGTTGAAAAGCTTACATCAGTATGTATTAGCATATGAAGTTTGATAATTAAAAATACTATGAATGGTTTCTTTAAAACTGAGTTAAACACAAATCGATAAAAGTGAGGTCAAGGTCTAAAATGTTGTTGAATTGCTTACATCAGTATGTATCGCATATGAAGTTTGACACTAATTTAAGAAAAGTGAGGTTAAGGTCAAAGGAAAGGTCAAGGTCAAAAAATGTTGATGCAGTTGCATAGCTCTCATCAATATTTATCAACATATGAAGTTTGATGAAAATATCTTGGATAGTTTCTTTGATAATGGGCTTTGAACTGAGCTAAACGCAAAGCGCGACGGAAGGACAGACGGAGGGATGGATGGGCGGAAGACGGACATGACAAACACTATATGCCCCGGCCATATTCATGGCGGGGCATAAAAATGTGACTTGTTTCTTTAAAAGGAAGTCTCATGGTTCCTTTTCAGGTGTTATGTACGTTGCGTTACATCGCAAAGGCTGATTTCTTTTCCGAAGTTGGAGACATTCATGGGGTTTCAAAATCGTCCGTCTCTGTATGTATACCAAGGGTGTGTCAAGCCCTTTGTGAGCACTTGCAGAACATTAAATTTCCATCATCAGTGATCTCTCTAAGGAAAATGAAAGAACAATTTTACTGCATCGCCCGTTTTCCCAACGTGGTAGGAGCCATAGACGGGACGCTTATCCCTATCAAAGGAATGAGTAGCGATGATGAGCACATCTATGTGTCAAGAAAGAACTTTCATGCCCTAAATATCCAAGGGGTAGTGGATGCAGAGATGAGGTCTATCCAAGTATTGTTAGCGATTTGTACAATGCAGTCCATCTACAAATATACAGTGAAACTTGTCTAATCTGGATGATGTGTAATCCAAAATCTTGCTTAATACGATGTTAACTTTATGTCCATTTCAGTGAATTTATTTGTTTAAAATGTTGTCTAATCCGAGATGTTGTGTAATCCGGTCATTTTTTTGGAACCAGTAGTGTCCGGATTAGACAAGTTTTACTGTAATTCATTTTAAAATGGAGAACATTTTGTTTCTCTTCTTGCTTAATTTTCTTTACGATCATACGATGTTATACTCTTATTTCAGATTTCTTAACATCAATTGCCGATTCCCAGGCAGTGCGCATGATGCATACATCATGTCAAACTCCAACATTCCAGGCATTATGGCTAACCTGACAGAAGGTGGTTGGCTGCTGGGTGACTCTGGGTACCCTTTGAAAGATTTCCTCATGACACCATTCAGTAACCCTTCTACTCAAATGGAGGAAAGATATAATCATGCTCACTGCCAGACAAGAAATGTTATAGAGAGGGCATTTGGCGTGCTTAAATCCAGGTTTAGGCATGTGATAAGATTTCAAAACATCATAATTATCTTCCATTAGATATTATCTGTAACATAAAGTTGTATAAGTATCATTAGTTTACGTGAGGAACTAGTTCCCTATTATCTCCATCAAGAACGAGTGTTCATATTTACCTTAAAAGCATATATGAACAATATAGAAATGAAAAAAACAGTAAAATATATACTAACATCATAATTTAGCCTTCATAATTGCTAAATTGAGAATTTGATCAATCATATCATTCATACTTTGCAGATGTCTTCACAAGAGTGGAGGATGTCTGCCATTTACACCTACCAAATGTGCACTTGTCATTGAAACGTGTTGCAGACTTCATAACAAGGCCATTGAGGAGAGAATCCCCTTACAACAAGGTGGTCCTGTTGTATTACAACACAACAACTACGTTTATGGAGGAGCACCTCTGGGGTCAGCCAGAGACCTGAGACAACACATTGCATCAAGATTTTAAGTAAATTTAATAACAGGCAACATTTAAGGAGACTCTAAACACTGCGCACAGGAGAGTTCTAATTTCATGTTAGTTTTATGCAGTTAAAGTGATCTACCCATAGATTAATGTGAATTAAACGGAAATACACAGTGAATATCACCATTTGATTTAGATTTAAGTATCATTAAAGTAAATTATACTACACTGTAATATAAAGCAATTGAATGCATTATTTGCAGGTATTTTCCAAATGTAAGTAAACAGCAGTGATTTCTTTCACTATCACTTCATTACCTTTTAACATATCCTGGAAATGACAGGTACCCACTAGATAAATTCAGTATTCATGGACACCTTTAGATGATACATGTATATTTCTTTAAAGTCCAAAACACAATTTCCTTGGTGTTTAGAGCCTCCTTAAATTGTCCGGGATATAACTTAGCACTGTAAGTGCATAAAATTTAATTGCCTTTGATGGTTATTTTTTAGTTCAAGTAACTTTTATTTCATAACAAAATTTGTTTTACTTTGTAGAAAGGAGGACAAACTGAAATAACGAAGAACTCGCTGTATTTTGCCTTTGAATTTAATATTTTAAAGTTAAAATAAATAATCTATACAATGTAAATATTATTTTCTTATCTATTTTCACATTAGTATCTGGTACTCTAGAAGAGAAAAACAATACCATATACATGTATTGTATCAACTTTTTGAAAATTGTTTTACAGAGAAGTGTTTTTCTATTTAGGCAAAATACACAGGGTGTAATCAAATGTTGATGACAAAAAATTTAACAAAAGGCCTATGGGCCACATTGCTCACCTGAGCATATTGGCTTATAAAAATAAAAAAAAACATTCAGTTTTGAAAAGTTCCTATGTAAAACTGTAACTGCCCATTGTGGTCCCACCCTGACCCGGGGTCAGGATTTGAAAAATTTGAATCTTCAATACCTGAGGATGCTTCAAAACCAATATAATTAATCGTGGCTTTGCTATTCTTGAGAAGAATTTTTTTAAAGATATTTCCTATATATTCTTATGTTGAACTTTGACACCCTGTTGTGGCCTGGCCCTATCCCTGGGGGTTATAATTTGAACAATTTTGAATCTTAATTATCTCCCCTTGAAAAAGAGTGTGGCCCTTCATTTTAACAAATCTGAATCCCCTTTACCCAAGGAAACTATATTCCAAACTTGGCTGAAATTGGCCCAGTGGTTCTAGAGAAGATGATAATGTAAAAAGCGACAGTAACAACTATGACAACGACAGACAACAGACAAATTTTGATCAGAAAAGCTGACTTGGGCCTTCGGCTCAGGTGAGCTAAAAATGAATAACTGAAGGAACTGACAATCCCGATTCTAAATTCTGCCATCCCTCCAATATTGCTACAGCTCTCTCCAGCGCTTGAGCCTTCCTTTCCTCAAGTTCTAATCTTTTCTTTTTCAAATCGACAAGTTCTTTAATGCCATTTTCTGCAAAAAAGGGCATATTAAAAACCAGCTCATTAGCATAACAACATTACAATAAATCCATTAGATTGATGTCAGTGCTAAAAATGTTGACCAGTTGAAACTCATAAAATTGAGACCTTTTTCCCTTACAAATTGTGATAGTTGTACTTGGTTTTATTTTATTTCAATTAATGCTATATATATTTTATTTCAGAAATTTAATAACTAGAATATTCACAAAGTTGAATTTTGATGTTTTGTTTTTATGATTTATGCACTCTGGATATTCGTTTGCTAACTATTACCATAGTCTTCAGTCTTCTTCTTTCCTACTGATTCCATACTCTTCTTTCTCTTGCATGCTTGTGATGGCAAGGCTGAAATAAAAATGAAAACAGATGTGAAAGATCTTGTCTATAAAATTTTCTTGCCTGCAAACTGTGTTAGGAATTGAGTAGCGTGTAGGCAATTTTTTTACGTCTTTAAACAAAACATACAAGTAACACTAATGACAAAAGAATATAGTGCTTAAAAGCATTTCCATGATATAAATTTAAAGTTTGAATTTTTATAAATTTGGGAACAGCAGAAAATTTTGTTCAGAACTAAAAATAAGGGACTGTAACGAAAGTGGAAACAAACTTTTTTTTTTTTTTGCTAAACCTAATGTATCATTTTTATCAACTTGCCAAGGCTTGGGGATAAAACACACAACTGACTGAATAAAAAATCTTATTTCCTATCCAGCTTATAACATGATATTTAATTGGTTAGCAACCCAGGTGTAAATTTCTGTACATCCGGCTTGAGCGGGGTTAAGTAACATGACGTCACAATGCATCATTTCTCTATGAAAAAGCAGACAACATGATATCCTTGTAGCACATAGTAAATCTTATCGATAGTTTGAAGCACCATTGATAGGACTTATGTTTACAAAGAATTTATTTGGTACATAGGAAATAAATTCGTTATTCCTAGGCCGAAGGGTGTATGGAATACAACCCAGGGTAAATCCCCATAAACCCTTGATTGAATATCCAACCACAAACCTTGGTGGTTTATCTTAAAACCGTATATATATTCAATTAATGCTATATGCAAATCCTGATAATTAAATAAATAGTTGTAACATCATTTAATAATGAATGAATTAGTGTCGGAATCAGATATCAAGTATACATGCATACATACCTGTACATGGAGTTGAAGGCTCTTCAGAAGTTACATGTATGTCAACCACACATTCTAAAATTTCCAGATCATGATGTTATATATTAGATAGCATATGTGATTAAAATAAAATGTATCTTTCATAAATAAGGATAATTCCAAGTATATGTAACTTTTCAATTTTTATCAAAAAAGATATTTTTTATGCGAATAGTCAACTTAAGCAATGTATAATTCATAATATTATTTCTTGTTGAAACTAAATGTGTCAGTGTGACATTAAGGCCCCCTTCCTAATTTCATACTTAACTAAATACTAAAAAACTAAACATGATGGAATGAAGGAATAATAGACCATGATAGTTGGACAGGGAAATTTCATGGTGGAGGGGGGGGGGATGTAGATTTTGATTATAAAACAACAATGACTGTAAACCCAGTTACTATAAACAATATACAATTATTGCTGGTTTTTGAGGTCAATACAATGATTTAGACACCTGAGGAGTACAATATTCACAGAGCCTGAAGGTCGAGGTGAATATTATACTTCGAAGGTGGCTAAATCATCGTATTGGCCGAAAAAACCCCAGGAATAATTGTTTTATTCAATGATTAAATGACATGCACTTATTAAGCAATCCGTGCCATCTTACTTGTTCACATCTACTGAAGTACTAGCCAAACATAATGAGAGAAACGGGGTTAAAAAAACACAGATGTATTATTTTTGGAATTATTAATTCTAGTTTAGGTGCAATGTAGAAAAAATAAATATCAGGCACATATATGGGATTGATTTTGAAAAGGGGGCATTAAAAGGAAGAAAAAAATTACAACTTATCTTAAAACAAATCTTTGACTACCCCCCCCCCCCCCCCAAAAAAAAAAGGAAAAGAATTCTCCCAAATCAAAATTTATTTGGTGGGATGTAAAGGTCCATAAATTTTTCGAGGGGAGGGGGGCTTACATTGAAATTTTTTATCCTTAGAATTTAAATTAAAACTTAAAATTCTCAAAAGGTGGGGAGAGGTACAGGCCTCCTCCCCCCCCCCCCCCCCCCTCACCCAAGAATCTATGTGCCTTAATGTTATGTTCATATCAGTGGATGTCATGTGCAAGTGAAATAACTTTCCTAAACTATTTGCATCAATCTGGAATTTCCCTATCTATTTCTGGTCCAATGTAGAACAAATAACTCCTTATATTAACCTGGAAGATCACCAGCAGGTCAATATAAAGTAGTATTTTTCTAAAATTGTTGGATCTCAGCCAATCAGAGAGATGGGAATTATTCAGTCATATGATAAAATGTATTATACAGTCCAATGACCTGAAGCATTCTTAGATGTCGCACTGCAATCTCCTGTTGCTCCGGGACAATTCAAATCAAAGTTTGTCTTCTTTGGTTGACCTGTACATCAGATATAAAAAAGAATAATATTTCAGTATGTTTACAAAATTCTACAGCTAGATTTGCAATATCATACAACAATTTTATCATACAGATATAGTTCTTTGTACATGTATTAAGTATATGAAAGTAAATGTTTGAGATTCATGGTGTCATAAAAAATTAACCCTTTAAACCCTAAAATATCAAATCATACGGTGATTTCTAATGTAAATGTGTATATACTATAGTAATATGGGATTACATTGATCTGCATCTGATCTAATATCTGCTGCCCCTTCTAAGCCATGGATAATCTCTTGTGGAATTGTTCCAAGAAGCTAAAAAATCAAAGTACATTAGTATGTAAGCTTAAATTTATTTCCATAAAAAACATAAGAATGTTGTTTCCAATTTATTGAAGTGACTACTTTCTAGAAATATTCCTTTTGTGATATAATTTTTTAAAAATGCGAAACTTGAAAGACAAGTTCTTTGAACATTTCAATTGATCCTGTGTATAAACTTTATTCACTCATTTCACTTTTACTTAACTTTTATTGTAAGCTTTCTATCCACTACCAAATACTCACAGTCACCTCCCATGGCTTAAAAATCACTTCTGAACAGGGTCCTCCACCTGTTCTTGATGCTTCTCTCTTTCGGAAAGCTCCTTCTTTTTCACACTGGACAAACTATCCTGTATTTTCTTTTTGGTTTCATCCAATGTTCTGTTGCATGATACTGCTACAGCATTCACTCTGCATTTATTTTAATGCTAAGAGTTATTTTAAGATATTTAAAGTACCTAATGAAATAATGGTGAAGACCAGACTACACCCGATAGACCGGACGCAATTCATAGCGCTCCGGATTTCTTTGTTAACAACTGTTTATAAACTCCAAATTAAACATGTAACATTGTGACTTCTTAACTTTTTTCTTTGTCCTGAGGAAGGGACAGGTTGTCCCTAAAATTTGACAATTATTATTGTTCGTGTCGTTGGTCATTTTTAGTGCTTTATATAAATTTCCATCCGTGACCTTGTATCTACTTAGTAGATCCGACACTTAGGATATACAGTGTTGCTGGTTTTTAGTGATTTATATATATATATATATATATATATATATATATATATATATATATATATATATATATATATATAACTCTGATTTAAGGACTAGGGAGACCAGACCATTATATATGGCTTAAGGAGACAATATACAGATTTTTTAAATTTGCTTTTTTCTAAAAAGAAATACCAGATCAATGTTCTATAGAACACCATTTAGTCGACTCTTGCTTTATTTTTTCATTATAAATGCCTCCTAAAAATATATGAAAAAAATGGTCTCCCTAATATTTTATGTTTCTCTCATATGACTTAAGGAGACCAGTGTATACCTTTATACATATAACTTGTGGTTTAAGTAGACCATTTTTCTTTCATAGTAATTTCACTGATTATGGATTAATTAACATATTGTTTCCAACCAGAATAGTTGCGGATGGTCATTGGTCAAGCTCAGCAGAAAGATATTTGTGTTAATGTGACTCAACATGATCAGTACAAAATCTTGAATATAAAACTAAAGTCATTGCACAAGTGACTTATATAGAGAGTAGTTGCCCCCCTGGCGCAGTGGTTAGAGCGTCTGCTCTAGAGTAGAGAAGTAAGGAGTTGATCCTTACATCGCAGGTTCAAATCCCACAGTTGGCTGGGGAGACCGATCCTTCGGATGAGACCGCATAAATCGAGGTCCCGTGTCACAGTAGGTGCTGGCACGAAAAAATCCCTTCACTGCTCAATGGCTGTAAGTGCTGAGTATAGGACAAAATTTGCAGCTTTCCACTGGCATGTGGTGGCGTCTCTATATGAGTGAAAAAATCCCGAGAGGGACGCTAAACAACATACAATCAATCAATCAATCAATATATAGAGAGTATAAGCCCAGAGTAGCTTGTTCTGATATCCACAATTAACTCTCAATGCTGTCGCCCACATGTTGCAGTGGTAAGAGCCTATGCTCTAGAGTTGCCGTGTTAGGAGTTGATCCTTATGTCACATGTTTGAATCCCACTGTGGGACGTGGAGACCGGTCCTTCGTACAAACCAAGGTCCAGTGTCACAGTAGATACTGGCATGAAAAAGATCCTTCACTGCTCATTGGCCCTGTGTGCCGAGCATAGGTCATTTGCAGCTCTCCACCGGCAAGTGATGGCATCTCCATATGAGTGAAAAATTCTCGAGAGGGACGTTAAACAACAAACAAACTCTCAATGTCCAATACAGTTTAACCTGAAAGTGAATGCAGACATAGACATGCAGACATAGATTAGACTTATTCTTTAGACCAAGTATAGTATACTCCATATTGTTTTGTTGAGGACACAAAGTTCACAGTGGAAATCAAGTAGTTTTTCCTGCTATTTATACCCAGCTTCTTTTAAACCATATAGTCATTGAGTGCATTCACTTTCCAACTAATTGATGAAGTTCTGAATCATACCTATATTTGTTTAAATTCTTTGTGATTTAAGAATATGTTTGACCAGTTGAAACCAAGAGTACATGTACTACATAAAATTTCAATGTTGTGATTAAGATCCAGTATAGCAATATGTAGATGCCATGTTCAATATACATATTTGCTATCATTAAACTTGCAGAGACCATGAATCAAAATAATTCAAATGCTTCAAAATCATTTTATTTTTACTGCTAGTCAAAATACAGTCACTCAAGCATATCCTTTGTTAATTTGAAAAAAAAATGATAGTTTAACATTTATTATTAATACCATACCAAAGCACAAGATAGTGCACTTCTTACATAATCCAATGATTCATGCTGTGATTTGACATATTTAGATGTTTCTCATTTACAGTTCAATATACATGATATACAAGTACAGTGTGACACTAACCTAGTATCAGTTGAATGGATCATTACTATTCTGTTTTTAAGAAGTTTGCAGGGTTAAAAGTATAATAAAATAAAAATGTTGATACATTTATTGATTGCATATGCTAAAAACTTTGATAAAATATCAAACTTTGTATCATAACAGCTTTTACAAATTAATTCAATACATTCAAAGGTACAAAAATCAAATTATTTTCATCCACAGTTTTATCATATTCAGTTGAACAACAGCTACATCTATTATATAAAATGTATGGTAGTTGGCACTGATGGTATAATCAAAGAATACAAAGCTCACTTCTATAAATGTTATCCACTAGTAAGGCAAAGTCTCACTCAACAAACACTCTGGTAATGTATATCACCTGAATCCAAAATCTATGCAAGTTGTTCTGGGTTAGATTTAACTGCTCAATAACCCTGAAAATGTATGTTACATCCAGCATCAGAAGCAGGATGCATCATCTATGTTTACTGATCACCAAAGAGTATATTGTTACTTTGAATGAACCTTCTCTAAAAACTGGTCATTAATCCAGAAAATCTAAGTCAAATCAAGGATTGGTACCCTGAAACATTAACATACATTATCTTTGCAGGTTTGTTCAACATACAGTTTATAATTACATGAGAATAGGACTGCTCAAAACACTTACTCTTGTGGAGTCCCCCATGTGGCGCAAAGGCTAGAGTGTGTAATCTAGAGTCGCAAGTAAGGATTTAATCCTTAAGTCTCAGGTTCAGATCCACTGGGGATGTGGGGACCAGTCCTTCAGATTCGACCGTATAAACCGAGGTCCCACCTCGCAGTTGATGTGGGCACAAAAAAGATCCCTTATTGCTCAATGACCCTGAGTGCTAAGTATAGGTCAAATTTTGCAGCTCTCCACCAGTAAGTAGTGGCATCTCCATATGGATGAAAAATTCTTGAGAGGGATGTTAAACAACAAACAAACAAAAACAAAAAACACATGAAGAAAATGTTGATCAGGTCAAGCATCTGAAGTAAATCTGTTAATGTGCTTTAATCCATGCAAGTTTGTCCAGTTAGAGCTTAGGAATAAACCTTGCTCCTTAAATTTTAACTGGGATGACAATGCTAGGTATATAGCAAGAACTCATCTAGACTGTCCAGAAAAGCTTAAGAATATTTAGCAATATCTTACTTGCATGATTTAAAAAAATCTGCAATCTAACATTATTCTAAAACAATTTCAACAAAGTTTCTAATTTTCAACAAATTCAATGCACTATGAGATGAATTACATTTCTAAACCACATACACTCTACTTAAAGTGCAATATACATGCATTATACTGTATGTTAAATCTTTACAGTTCTCTTCAAGTACTCTAATAGTATATAAAATATGAAGATTACCAAAAGTGATCAAGCTTTAAAGTCCATTGAAACAATACAAAATTGGAGCAGAGCAAACACAGACCTCTAAAAACACCAAGTGCTATGGAGGAGAAAGCATTTTCTGCCATGTGCTCCTTGACATAATTGGGCAAATGGAAAAATCCACAAACAATTCAGTGTAAACAATTTTGATGAAAAACATTAGTCAACATTCAACTTAATGATAGATTAAATTTGCTATAACAATTAATTTACATGTAAGTGTATACACATGTATGCATACCCAATTTTACTAAATGAATTATTTCACAATATCCAAAATTGGACAATAATATATAGTTTCTAATCTAGCCAGACAACAGGAAATTTTCATTATTACTTAAATTACATGAAACTATTGATGTCTGTGAGCTACAAATTATATCTAAAAATTATATACATTTTAACAAGTGTTTACAGTTTAGTGTATTTATTATACACAAATGATGACTTAATTAGTAAGACATACCAGTAAAGTCCACAGATTGACTTCCAGATTTCAGCTCAAAGGCTTGAAGATTTTTAGTGGCTTTTTCTCTCATAATTTTTTTTTCACTGAATATTTTCATTTTTTTTTCAAGACACTGTTTTTGTTGAGGTCTTTTAGCAGTTTGATGCAATCCAAGAAGTCTGAGGGCAATTTAAGAACTCCTGAATTTCTTTCTTACCTGGCAAAAATAAAAATTTAAAAGTTTGAAATATATTCAACTTACATGAAGAAAACTAGTAAAACTAGCGATAATGTAATAGACCTTTCAGATGTTCCAAAGCAGCTACATGTACCTTATTAAAAAATATAAAGTTTGAAGTATTTAGAGTCACCTGTATTCTGAACAAGGGATATGTGTATTTGACAGACAGATGAATGAATAGACTGATCACTATAGAGCACCTTAGTCTTTTTTCAATAATCATTATATTAGTGAAAATAAAATAGGAACTAGAGTGCTTCAAGGAATGTATATGTCGCCTGCTAGGTATCTTCATTAAAGAGGTAAATAAATCTAAGAGTGGTCAGCTATTAATTTAATATTAGCATGGAGGTTCATGCATTTGCCTGCAAGGAAAAAAAAGGATCCAAAAGTAAAAGACTGGGATAGAATCTGGCAATCAAAAAATATAGTTCCCCAGTCCTCAAATGAATAATTAAATTGAAATTATGATGAATAACTATTTATCATTTTATTAATACACATGTAGGTGCTTCCAACAATCCTCGGAGGAAAGAGATTTCAGACTGTCTTTACTTTGTCACTTTGTCAGTCAACACGATTCATTGTAGAATACTGATCCCAATGTATTTTCATAGTATTTAAATAAGTTTGTGGTAACTGAATTTCATACAGTTTCAAAGTATAGTATCATGAGCTCAAAAACATATATAAATGCTAATTATCAAAACCCTGCCTCTAAAAATTTTGGAGATATAAGGTGTGACAGACGGACAGACAGACACCAGGTAAAGTGATCTCTAAGTGTCGTTCTGCTCTGCAGTTGACACAAAAATGAAACTTAGTCAATTTTTGAGCATGCATATCACTTCAGTGATGAAAGGAATGCTGAAGTGGTAAGTCTATCCTAATTATTTGAAAATACGGCAACCCCATTGGTCAGAATATAATACATATGCTGTCCAGCCTTAATTTCATTGGCATAAAGCAGCACAAAACAAGATTTGATTGGATGGTGCAACTTGTTTTTCTAGGGGGCGCTGTTGCAACCCTGGAAAAGAAAATAGGACTGGGGCTTGCCCTTTGGGGGCACTTACTGACCGAAAGTAAACAAACAACAGAAATAGCAAATTACACTAGAAATATGTCCATAGGCCATGAATGCCCCGCCGAGTGTATAGTAATGCAACATGAAATTTTGTGTTAGTATATGAAGTTTGATGAGAATATCTTGAAAAGTTTCTTTAAAATTGAAATAAAAATTTTAAAAAAAAATGAATAGATGATAAGTTCTCACCAAATTATGTATAGATGCATAGCCTTAGATAACAATATCTTAAATGGTTTAAAACCATGCAAGATGCAAATTAAAGAAAAGTGAGGTCAAGGTCACAGGAAAGGTAAAAAATTTTTGAAATAGTTGAATAGGTCTTACTAATCTTACAGCATATTAAGTTTGATAAAAAATATCTTGAATGATTTCTTTAAAACTGAGCTAGTCACAAGCGTGGCGCCATGGTTAAAGCGTCTGCTCTAGAGTCACGAAGTAAGGAATTGATCCTTACATCACAGGTTTGAATCCCACTGTGGGATGTGGACACCAGTCCTTCGGATGAGACCTTATAAACTGAGGTCCCATGTCGCAGTAGGTGCTGGCAGGAAAAAGGACCCTCACTGCTCAATGGCTGTGAGTGCAGAGTATAGGACAGAATTTGCAGCTTTCCACTGGCAAGTGGTGGCGTCTCCATATGAGTGTAAAATTCCCAATAGGGGCTGCAGATTACCTGTTATGATTGACCAAAATCCCTACTAGGCTTTAAACTCTTCATTCTTGACCTGTATATCGTCAAATGAGATTTGTCCAGTTAATTAAGGTAAAAATTACTAATTGATAAAACTGTAAATGATTTTTTTTTACCTGAGTCAGATTTTTACTTTTCTTAAAGGTGTCTGGATTTGACTGTTGGTTCCACCTATCTCAAGGAAATGATCTGTAACAGTAAATGTTAGAAATCATAATCTGTTCTCTATCTCCTATAATCACGAGAAAAGGTGTTAAAAATTAACAGATGGAGATAAAATCAGCAGTCATATTAAAGGCTTTTTTCAATCATCAATTTATTAGTGAAAATCATAAAAGTATTAGGCAAAAATGAAAAATAAATGTTGTCATTAATTAACCTTGCATATCTCTACAATTTTCTGATAAGAAAATTTATACCCGATAGATGCAATATAATCGCCCTTTGCCTGCCCCAAAATTAAATTATGAAATTTTGATAGATTTTGATTTAAGCAATTATTATAAAACAAGGTTTTTTTAGGGGCACGTACCCCTGCTTTAGATTTATATAAAAAAAAAAAAAACTACAAAAAACGTGAAAACCTATTTCTATCTTACTGGTTTATATTTATTACAAATGTCCTCATAGTCAGCATAGCCCAGAATGGTAGACCGCAGACTCTCACCATGAACATTTTTAGTGTCCTGGTTCAAATCCATTTGTTGGCACATTTTTATTTTTTCAAACTTTTTACCTGTATAAACACTAAAGAACGAGTGCACTTATGGGCCCCGGTAAAATGTGAAATAATGAAGATTCAAATTAAGCTTAATTTTCCATCTCAGATCATTAATTGATATCTAAACCCTAAATTCAACAAATTTTATTGCTGAAATTCATGAATATACAAAGAGCAAAGCCATACAATGTGGTAGGGGTCAGCCAACATTCGTGATTTTCTATAGTAAATCGAGGACAGTCATTCATTTCAAAGCTTTTGTTTATTGTCAGCCTAACGTTGTACAAACTTGTGTGATTGACAAAAAATGCATTATACATTTATAAAACTTGTGTGAAAGTAGGAAATTTGTACAAGATTAGGCTTGTACTTAAAATATTAAAAAAATGTATGAAAAGTTCAATGTTTTTCCTATAGCAAGTAAGAGCTTAGATTTACCTGTATGATCTAGCTATGTTGAACCCACCCATGGAATAAATTATTTAAAATACCGGTAGTCACGTGAGTTCTACCCAGGTAAACATTCCTCAAAGATGCTCACTGTAAAGCATAGCCACGTTTTGTATCATTATATCAAAGTCATGCCGCATAGAGAAGTTTGTATGTACATGTATTTGGTTTTAGGAAAACGGGAGGGTTAGGAACACAGAAGGGTTAAGAGAGTTTAGTGTCGTTAAAATGTCATCATAAATAAAAGTGTCAAACATTTTTAACATTCAAGCAAGACAATGGTACCAGAATTGAAAGCCACCCAAATACACCTTTTTTCATTTTAAAATATAAAGGAACTAATGTTAATACTTATTGCATTATTTCAAATGCAAGCATACCAATTTCATAGTTTGATCACTATGGATACAGGCATCTATACAACTTCATTCAATTTTTTTTCTCGGGTAAAATAGCGCAAGAAGTATCATTCGGCAAATGTGCCTGTCAATGATCCACCATCAGATTGTTCAAGTGTCTGATTTAAGATTTAAATGCCTCCTCCCCTTGATTTAAATAAACGATTGAAACTCAAAATGGGTTTGATATGACTTTCCGGATCTATAGGCATTTAAAAAACTTCATTTGTTTCAAATCCATGCCGATTGATGTTTTAGCGTGATTTTAATTAGAAATGTCCACTTGTGTTTAACTATTACTAAAAGAGAACAATTTGGTAATATATTCTAAAGTAATACAGCACTGAAAAAGGGCCCATTAAGCATTCCTTAAGTGCACTTGTCCTTGCACTTTGATTTTTTTATACAGGCTTTTGCATTTTACTTATATTTTCTTCCTTAAATGCATGTTTGGTGTTGATATAAAAGACATCTACAGAAATGCAGATCATAAATTCTCTTTAACTAAATGCAATCAACCGGAACTATACCTCATTGTAAGCACACTTTGTTCGAGGACACTAATCATTCACTTTGTGTTACTCGATACTGCAGGTGTCAGGAAAAAGAATCTTGCTGAGCAATAACTGCTGTGTTTTCCTTTCAAGAACATAATGACATGTAATAGTACTGTTGTGCCAGTGGGAGAGATACTGTTCTATGCAGAGTAGATGCAGTTCATTCCTTGGGAAAAATGTGTGCATTGGCGATATGTTATGCTAAAAATGCATGAGGGTTTTCAGATTAGAAAAGAATGTGGTAAGGTCAGTTAAGGTTTTATGTCCCATTGCCATCACTCAGTCAGACATCAAGAATGACCCTCATACAAAGGATGTATAATTCTGTAAATACTGAGGTAGGATCATATGAACACACAGTTGACTAGAATGAAATATATCGAGATAACAAACAGTATTCAAGCTCAAAAGCCCATCAAAAAATACAAAATAGGAGCAGAGCAAACACGAACCTCCAAAACATCAGAGGTGGGATCAGGTGCCATGGAGGAGTAAGCATCCCCTGCAGACCGGTCACACACGCCATGTGCTCCTTGTCACAACTGGGAAACAATGGAAAAATCCATCGATAATTCAGTGTGTAAATAATGGCCTAACAATAAGTATGAAAAACGTCACTCAGCATTTGACTTAATGATAAATTGTATTTGCTGACAAAGTCATTGTATCGACCATAGAATTTACAAAATGATAACTTTAAACAAGACTGCTGATATTCTTGTTTCAGCAACTTGTTTGTCAATAACTTATCTCGTTTTAAAAAAATTTCAAACATAGAGGATGCTCTTTCGTATCAAATCAACTGAGAGATATAAACCCTGTATGCAGGTGATGAAGGTATATTGCTAAATAAGTAAGGGAAGTTGACAATTGAAAAGTTAAAGCCATCTCATTTGTCATAAAGCTTGGTTGTTAGATTACCATTAACGTAGAACTAAAGCAATACATGAGAAACAAGAAACTACACACATGTGGCCTAAAGTCAGTGATCGGAACATACATCGATAAGCTTTTTCTAAAGACTGAAACCAATATTGGTCCTAAGGTCAACTCAAATTTTTAACTAGAA